AGCGTTGGGTCTCGAAGTTGGAGTGCTGAGTGGAGCGAATCCTTTCGGGAAAAACTCGAATCCTGACCTAAGATATCCTACGTTCTAATGTATGATTTTGAATAAACTTGTGACTATTTTACTAGTTAGTATTAGTCCACGATCCTAAATGTCCACACTGTTGGTAAGTTTTATTATTGGATGAGATAATTGTCATCTGAAAACTTTCATAATTTTGTTCGTGTCCATGAATACACAAAGCAAGACAATTATGCATCAGTCTGATGCTAATGCAATGTATCAAAGACAATATATAATATCAATTTATGAGGCACTCGACTCTATCAATTGAAAATTTCTAAAAAGATGTGTTAAAATCTCATGTTTTGACAAAAGTATGATTCTCGCGGAGGTTATCGAAATCATTATAACTAGACGTTCAGAGATGTGAGTTATGAATTCAAGATTCGTTTCGGTAGGAAACTAACAGTATGAAAAAAAAAGTTACACAATGAGGTTAATCTTATTTTGATTCATTGCATGAACAATATTATCCATGTTTTCAGTTTTGTTTAAACTTTGTATAGACTTCTAAGTTTAAAAACAAAACTTTTTAAAAAATTTCAAATATCTAGAATCGAAGTGACTCGAAAAGATTTTACAAAGGTGCTCTGGCTTCCAGATCACTTAAAAGAAGTTGATAATCAAGTGAAACTTGGCACAACGAATAAGTCGATTGTTAATTATCTTTATCTACTGATTTCAAACTAATCAATAAATTATCGTTTTAGATGTAAGGAACACGAACGTCAAGAACTGTCAATTTTTTGTCAAACATGTTCCCAACGAATATGTGCTCATTGTTTGTTACCAGTGTTTCATGGAAAAGTAAGAACCAGCAATATTATCTTTTTTGCCACATTTCATTCCTGATTATAGCATGTGGACCATGATTATTGTTCATCGGAAGACGCTTATGCTAAAACTATTAATGAACTTCGAGAACACATAAATAATGCTCGTCGTGCTGTAGAAAAGGGTCAAGCAGAAAAAAAGAAAAATGTAAGAAAAACAAATGTTTTTTTTGGTACTTCTAATCATGATTTATTGTTGAAATAAATTTAGAAAAAATCTTTGAATACAACTCTTCGATATCAGAATCAACGTCGTGATGAATTTAACGAAATACATACGTTAATACATATGAAAATTGATAACGAAGCTGATAAATATTTAGATAGAATAACGGGTAATCTAAATTTCATTGATATTTTTTCTGTGTGGAGAAAAGAAATGATCTATTGAAAATCAAGAGTCAATTGACAAAAGAAGACTTTGAACAATAAGAATTCTTTTTGTACTATTTGATTCTTATTTATTAGATGAACGAACTCGTCTTAAAGGTCAAATCAAGCAACATGATGATCTGATTAATATGTTAGAGCAAGTGATCAACATGAAAACCGAAACCGAACTGATTAACATGAGAAAAGAACTATTGAATCGATTTCGACTTTTGACAGTATTGACATGACAAAAAATATTCTCCCGGAGTAAGATTAGTTTCTCATATCCGATTATTTTGTTGCTATTCGTTCATTAAGTTTTATGGCACTTCCATGGCAAACAAATGAATTTCTCCTGTACGGTTTTTCAAGAAAGAGCAATCAATGGGATAACTTAATAGTTCAAAAGTATTCTTTAGACTATAATCAAAATTGGTCATTCATGGTACATCCAGTTAAGTCAAATCTTAAGACTTCAAATTTAAATACTAATTTCATTGTTTATATGTAGAACTATTGTAATGATAAACATCGGAATGTATTATCCGTCTTCTTGAAATTAAATAGTGGAATGCCAGAACCCATCGATTATACTTATACTATCGAATTAGTTCATTCTCGTGAAAACGCTTTTAATTACATAGTGCAAGGGACAGGACAATTCCAACCAGGCTGGAAAAATGGATGGAAATCGTAAGATTGTTTTTTTTTCTCGAATTCTGCCATCTTACAGATTTTTAACTATGAATTTAGATTTTATTATGTTGAAGATTTGGTCTCAAATGGGTTTTTATGTCCAAACGAAGATAAAATAAAGTTTAATATCAAATTACGACCAACGACAATTTTTGAATATCGAAAAGTTCTTGAATGGTATCTCAAGTAAGAAAATATTCTCGTTTCTTAAACAAATAAGATTAATTTTTATTCATATTTTGTTTAATTCATAGTCAAATGGAAGATAAGAGAAAACATGATGAACATGTTATTGCTCGTTTAGAACAGTAAGTTGATTGAAATAATAAAAAAAACAAAAACTTGCTAATTGTTTTGTTTCATAGGGACAAGAAATATCTTGAACGCACTACCAGTGAACAACGAAGTAAAATCGAGAAAATTGAAAAGAGAGAAAATGAATTGCAAAAGTAATTAAGTTCTAAACTTATGCTAAAGTTCAACAAAGAATCATTATTTGTCTAGATCACTCGCAAACAAACGAAACAGCCGTGAAATTATTGCCAATCAAAGTTGTGAAGTGACATATTTGAAAAGGTTTGAATAATGTATTTTGAGATATTCATTAAACATTCTGTTTATATCTTCTGTCGTGTGTAGAGAAAATGAATCGCTTAAAAGAAAATTAAGTAATATTGCTGCTGGTCAAAAACGCCGTATCTGAACTAAAATCGTTGATTTCAAATTGTTATATTGTTATGTTTATCGATTTCAGATCGTCCCGAATATCAACATGATAAATCGCAATGGTATAAAAAAAGCACATGAATAATCAATATTTTGCTACAGTACTAGGGTGTGGGGTGTGGGTGTGTGGGTGTGTGGTGTCGGTGTGGGGCGTGAGCGTGGGGTGTGTTACTGTGGATATCTGCAGGTCTAGTCTTCTATTACACCAACATCATCACATTCACACCGACACCCACACCCATACCCTAGAAGAAATGATACTTCATATGCTACCTTATCTGAAACCGTCCTTTAGCACATGCAGAACATCATCCTATTCATCTGATACTTCTACTACTAATAGAATAAAATAGCATGAACAGCGAAATTCGATTATGCTAAACTTCCGAATGTTTGGATATCTCTTCTATTGCATGTTGGTAGCAATAATAAACATAAATCTTACGATTGGATACTGTTTATGAATGTTCAGTTCTATACTAAATTTTTTATTGAGAGAAACACTAGAAGTAATTCATCTAATGATGACCATGAAGTTATTGGGAGCACAACGAGTTATACAAGTTGATAAGCTAATAGAAGTAATCAATATAAAGAAGATGGAAATCTAATGCTAGTCAATATGGGCCTATTAGAGTTCATAAATGTCTATAACTTACGCAGATTGTCATGCCATTGTTTCTCAACAATAATATCTTATAAAGTTTCATCAAAATGTCAACAGATAGATGTCTTAAGACTTCGAAACGTCTACATCTGAAACTAGGATGTAAAGTGTGAATACATATGCAGCTTCTAAGTGTTGTTAGTATCAGTTTATTTCTAGGCACATGCATACACATATACTAATTGAAATTCCATAGCACCTGCAACAAAAGAGATAGTGTGAGAATGTGTGTAGTTCTATGCATCAATATTCTATGGCATACTCGTGGAACTAGATCGCTAATATTTTTGGATAAAATTCTGTTATGTTTGATGGGCTTAATGGAGAGTTAGCTCTGATAAAAACTCGGTGATGCGTTTTAAGGATAAAATAAAAGAGTTCTAATAGTATGTTGCAAGATCGGGAAATATCTTCTTTGGTAGAATTGAATGATTCAGCCCAATCACTTCGTATATATTCAAAACCTTCATTAGATGCTGTATATTTGTTACTTGCATAACTTCCATGAGCTATTATATTTCTATTACACACATTATCTACTTTCCTTTGTCTATCTACATTACTCGTAAGAGTTCCTTTACTTTAATTATCTTTCACATTTCCAGGAGCAGAAAGACAAATGTGGATCCAAACTAAAAACTAACAACTTTCGAGAATTTTTGACAATCCGTTGATAATATTCATGAAATTTGAGTTCGAAATATTCAGTTGAAAAATCTCCCTAGTCAAACATCTTGTAAGCAAGATCTTGGGCAAGATACAAGGTACAGAAATGTTAACAGATCTTGAAAATTTAGGTACAAGATAATCATATTATCTTGTACCGAGATCTTGAATCAGATCTTGGGTCCAGATAAGTAAGATCTTTTTTACAGATATTTAGGATCATGGGCACAGATTAATAAGATCTTACGAATGGATTCATTAGATCTTGGGACATATTACGATGAAATCTGTTTCGTACGTCGTGATTTGCGATATAATACATGATTTATTCTGAAGCTATGGCTCGAACCGATCATAAAGCGAATTTTTTTGTCTGTAAAATCATATTATCACACTTTTTCAATTTATTTTCATTTGAATTATTCCTATCTCAAATAATTGAAGCAAGTCAGACCTTGGAATCTGACTGACCTTGAGATGGCTCGATCTCCATTGGACTGCTTCCAGGTAGGCCCTCGATGATTGATCGAGATCAGTATGTTCTCGAATAATTAACATTCGAGAAATAGTTTTTAAAAAACTTATTTTGAAAATGTATGCTTCACATGTTCAAACACGTTGTTTATATACGGCTATATATGCATAAAAAGAACGGTGAATGACTAGTCAGCACATAAATACTAATGATATCGTTCTTTTACTCAAGATCTTGTGAGAAGATAATAGTAAATGATGCCTTTTCTATGATCTTGACAAGATCCTTAGTGCAGATTTATCCGATACAACCAAGATATTCACATACATATGAGCTTTTCCGAATCTTTTCAAGATCTTGCTTATTGGTTCCAAGATTTCCAGATCTTGCTTACAAGATGTTTCACTAGGGCTGTATCTAAAAAAAATAACCTTAAATGATGGACTAACTTTTCATGGTCATAACGAGTTTTATCGGGATTTATTGGAACTTTTCAATAATTTTCTAAGCACTTTGAAGTAAATTCCATATAATTTCTCAATGCATACAAGGTGTAGATGTGGATGTGAATGTTTGTGTACTGTGAAACGATCATAATTATTAAATTTCTGTTAAATTAATCTCGCAGAAAAGATAAATCCCAAAAAATAGAATCCCGATCAGCGACCAATCTAGGAGATTTTTTGATCAAAAAGACGAGTTTTGAAGTTTGTTAGCAGTAGTATGTGGTCTATTTTCAAGACTTTTGCTAGCAAAACTTGAAAATAATTTTTCGAATGGAAGCAATTGCCACTGATCTCGGTAGCCCTTCGATAGCATTCATCAAATATCATAATAAAATCAGTCTGCAAATAAAAATTGGATAAACAGTTCACATATGAAGCTATGAAAATGTTTGATAAAATTCACATAAAAATAAATTTTAGTCAAAGATCTGATTAGTGGCTGTTGAATGAACTATGTGTTATCGAGCTTTTACATGAATAGTTCTTCCAATTCGATCACTCATTTTCGGTTGACTGTTATCCAAACAACTATTCTGAAAATCAAGGACACATAATGGTTCCCTAAAGTTTTCCTTAGATTTTGACAAGTACAATCGAACAGTAGCGCGCTAATAATCAATATTGATTGCTTTTGAATTTTATTTACAAAATGTATTTCAATGTCTACAGTCAACGGAGTAAAAATCGTGTATTATTCAAATCTCTTGTGTGAAAGAATAATATTGTGAATACTTGAATCGGTTGCTGAAATGCACAGTGTATAGAAAACAAGCCAAAGGCATTCTTTTTTTTTCATCTTAGACGGGTTTTATACCACTATGTCATGGAAAGGTTTCTGTTGCACCAAAATGTTTTAAAATATCTATTATTTTATTGATGAAAAAAAAAATAATTAATTTGAATTTAGAAGAGCTATAGTCTTCCTGTTACGACAAGGATTGACCTTCTGTTTTATTTACAATTTAGAGTGCAGCTGACTTATGTAAAAACTACCATCTTGTTTCTTTAAAGCACTATTTAGCATCTCCCATGTGGACGTCCTATAAATTTGTTCAATAATATAATAAAAATTTGGCAGCAAGTAAAAATAAGATAGCAGTCCAACTTTTAGAGAAGTAAAATCTATTCACTTTCATCGATTACTTAGTACACGAAAAAAATTTCATCCAAAAATTCGATCAAATTTATTTTCCAACAGTAATCACTAAAGTTCGATTTAGCACATCATATTTTCTTTAAATTCAACATTATAAAAAATTAATATAGGCTCCTTCAATTAATAATAAATTAAAAATGGAGTTTTACGGTAATTCATCTAAATAATTATGTGAGGATTGAAACGATTGTTTTTATTTCAAGATTAATCTTGATTGCTTGAAATAATATTAAAGAATCATTAGTGTGGACCCATGAAACGTTAGAATATCAAGATGACATAGTCTAACATAGATGAATTTATGTTATAATGCCAAAGAAGTTTAAATGATTTATCTGAAACAAACTTACAAAAATGATTGATTGAAAACAGTAATCGTTTGTGTAATCGATACACTTGCTTGAAAATTTCAGTATTTTAAAACTATTCTATCGATTAAATGAATTTATTCAATATCGAAAGGTTAAAAATACTTGTGAATATTATCAAATACATGATCAATGCAAACTTCTTAATTTCTCATCCTTATATAGGCAATATATATTATACGATGTGGTTGCTGTATTTCAGCTCATATTACACTACTGAATCAATTTCTATTTGCAATACTTATATCGAAAATAATTTCAAACATAGTTATATAAAATCTATTTCTGTTAAATAGCGAAGAAAAAAAAGTGTTCTTTTTTATTTCCGAGGATAAAATTGAACTGTCGATTCCTAGCTTACTAGACCAATGCTCTAACCACTGAGCCACACGGGCCTGGTTTAAAATTATCAATTATTGTGATATGTTTGTGGTTATTTGTATGAAAACTACAAGCTTAGTGAAATGAATAAAATTCCGATTGTTTCAGTTTTTAAAGCTTTTCATATATGCGAATCGTATTGCGATTGTCATATATAATCTAGCAATAAAAGAGATAATCTTGCTTGAATTGAAGTTTTTTGTATTCTGAGACTAAAAGTATACCTAAAAGATAACCATTGCTTATGATATGCCAAGGTCATGGTCAATGTTGTTTCACTATGACGAATACTATGATTATATCTTCAATAGGATAAATACAGCAGTTATTTTCTTCATATACTGGCTTCACAATGATTCGTCTTTTTCCAACAAAAATAAATGATGCCGCTCCTTTCACCTATTGATGATATCTATGGCAACGGTAAATAACACGTTTTAGAAATAATGAATCTTTTAAAAAATATCAATTTTCAGTTTTTTGTTTCATGAAACAAAGCAAAACTCAATCTCAAACAAATACTATATGCTGTTCGAATGTTTTTTCACCTGACATTGGTGATAACTATCTGTATCTGTATTCAACTCTAGACAGATATTGTAAAGTAAAGAGTTGTTAATATATTTAGAGAGTTTTATTGAGTAATTTTATGATAGCATAGAAACAAATAGATATGTCCTATTAAAAATAAATATTACTATTACACAGAATTAATTAATTGAATATTTCCATAGTTTTTGATCAATACATATACTTCACATGCTGAGTTAATGCAAAGTTACAATAAAAAAGAAATTTCAATATAATAGCACACAACTGATACTATTTATCATGATTATTATTTACTAAAATAGGAAATCATATACATAGATTAGCGTTGTTACACTTTGATTTTTCATATAATCTCTTTTTCTGGAAAAGATTCATTATTTATTAAGTATACTTTTCTTCATCTCTGTAACACTCAGTGTCATTAGTATATCACAGAAATAATTTTTTGTAATTTCAATTTTTCGTTGGTTTAATGCTTTCAGAACTCAGGCTATGATTTCGTTTTCTGCGTGCTGTCAGAAATAACTATCATTATTAAATATAAGTTTCAATCAGTATTCCACATTTTGTAATGTGATATAATCTTAAATAAAAATATTCAATTATTATTTACATGTCAAACTTTATCAACGTTCAGTTAGATTGAATATTATGAAAAAAAATGAAATCTATAATATGATTAGCCTAAAAGCATCTCTATATAAAATGAATTAATTGTTCAGTTAACTTCTTTTCAGATTATTGGCTTTAAAAACATTATGGTAGTATAGAGGCTATTATACAAACTCTTTAAGATCAAGTTATTCCTCAAAGAATCATTGTTCTGCCAGTAAATCTATTCTATCTGCAACGAATTCATTATACGTGTAGAAGGGTCGATCTTTATGGATAGTCGTTGTGTTAAGATGTTTACAACGAACGCAGAACATCAAATGGATCAGTAGTTAAAGTAATGACTATTTACTTAATAAATCGAAGACTAGAAATTTTATTCGATCTATTCTTCCTTTTCTAACTTCGGTTAATCTTCTGAATAAGCAGATCAATACTTATTGAAAAATCTTTGTGCCATAGGAACAAAAAAACCTCGATTGCTATTCCTACTAAAAATCCTTTCTTATAATAACGCATAATTTTCTTCCACTAGATCTATGGCGAATATGTTATTCTAGGAATATCATTTTGCTATGATTTTAAAATAAATTTTCATAATTGACAATCTAATTTATTCTTTAAACTTGAATTATTTCGATTATGTAATTAAATCTTGCATTAAGTTCCAAAAACAACAGAAATAATAATTAATTAACTCAATTTTTAATTAGTAAACTGCGAACTACAAACAATTTAATTTGCATCTAAACTAAATTGAAAACACATATCAACTGGTACATCAACATTATTCAGTCACGAAGAGTTTATTTTACAAGTCTTCCATATTCACAACTGATTATAAGTTCTGGAGTAGTAACATATACGAAGATTATTCAAAAAATTCCAATAAATTTCGAAACAAAAAAAAATAACGAAATTTATTTAAAAAGTCCAACGAATCTCGAAAAGAAACAGTTCTAAAAGCTGCAGTTAAGTAAAGAAAGTTATTTAGTTCATTCATTAAATAATTTAAGAAGAAATAATAATAACAGTACATCAACAAGATCGATGAAACAGACGAAAACAATCAAAAGAAGAAGATTATTATAATAATATATTGCGAATTAATCATTTCTAAAGTAATGATCACTGAGAAAATTATAATTGTATTAATTGAATTACTTTTTCACTAATTATGAATGAACTTATCTAATGTTTTCTGATATCTATTCATTATTATTATCATATTTAATTGATAAACAATGCAAAACTTTTTGAAATACTGTTAAAATCTATTTCCCAATAATGTGATATCAGTTTAATCGTGACATGTTTTATTTGAAAGAGAATAGTTTTGAGAGTATAAACATGAAGAAAAGATAACATAACACTTTTTTGGAAGAATCAGTTTTTAATATCATTTCCCTTTCTGATTTTCACGTTAACCGAGATCTAAAAAATCTAAGAAAAATTATTGTTCCTATCTCAGCACTGATAATGAAATTTGTTCACACGCTTTTTCATAGTAAAAAACAACTCATAAACAGGCATGTTTTTCTTTTCTATTCTTCTTTCAGCCAAGATGAATTGAATTCTATTCGTTACTATTAACATTTATTTGCTTACGAGTCAGTTTAGTCACTGCGTCGTTATACACTGGAGAAAAAAAGTCGATTTATGCAATCTTACTTTATTTAGTTTACAAGTGGTTTTTTTTCCAAATGGGTATTTTTTATATGATGGATTCCTTGGAAAAATCTAATCTATTCTCATATTATAAAAGTCTATACAAATTATATTCTTTTTCGTAGAGTTTTATTGAAGTAAAATGCCAAAGAAACAATTTCTTAAGCAGTTATCTATTGAAGAAACTCGAGATGCTGTAATAGATTAGGAAGATGATCATTATCGTGAATTCTATGATTTATTGTTCAAACAATTATTAATTAATATTAAACATGTACCATTCGAAAATATTATTCAAAATAATCTACAATATGGCATTCCTGTATGTAACAATAAAGAAGTACATTCCCTCGTTTGGCTTTATACAGCTGATCGAATATTCATCAACTCACTAACCATCTATTCATTTCGTTTTGCAAATGATTGTAATCCCGAATTTTATAGAACATTTGAAACAACATCTCATTATCTCTTTTCATTAGTACAACGCATGAGACATAAATACTATGGTTGGTATAAATATACAGGACAAGAATTATTAGACTATGTAGACAAATATTTAAATATTGAAAGAGTTGTTCAAAATCAAATCCCTGACAAAACAAAATTATTTATACATCAAGAACAAAAACGAATAGATATACAATTTAATTTCTATTCGACCGGTGAAAGAATAACAATCACTTTTGAACCTGGTTATCCTGAATTTCGTAGATAATCGTTTTCAAATATTTTATAGAACTATTTTTTTCTAAAACTTATTGCTAATTATAGTTCATATTTTTTGTAAATAAAATAATCAAGAATTTAACCCTTTACCTAGTGATGGGGCTGGGGGGGGCTCAGTCCTCCCCCCCAGAAATATTTGAATCGCTTCAAAAACGAAAATTGTTGGGTCTAATTATGTTGTGAAGCGAGATCCGAAATCAAGTGCAATGTGAATAAAAAAGTTTATTCTTAACTGTCCGATACATTTAGCCTGTTGTATATAACAGATCGATTTTTTTTCTTTTCTTCCATTTATGTCATTGTTTAATGCGTATTCAATTGTGTTGTTTAATGTTATCTGTAGGAATGAGTAATCATTTACTTCTGGTATATGTTATCGAGATGACCCCTGATGATCATATTATCTTTCAGTAGTCTACTTTTCTACATTTGGCGCAATCATCGTTGTTAACAATATTGCTCAACGTCTGGCGTGACTATCGTTCTTTGTACTATTGCTCAACACGTCTGCTGTGACCATCATTCTTTGTACTATTGTTCAACATATGATCCTATGTACATATAAATAAACACACTTTTTCATTTTAGTGATAATAAACTGAGTAACCAGTGCTAACACTATATCACTGATTTCTACAGAGACAATTATTTTTTTTAAGAATTGAAATCTATTCACATTTTTTCATGGATAGTAATAAACGTAGAACATCATCAATTGATTCTTATTTTTCTGTACAAAAGAAAACAAAATCTCGAGATGATGCATTAAACTCCGTCAACGTTAACCATGATTCTATTGTTTCTACATCTTCACCAACTCCTTCATCTTTAATTTCGATACCTGTTCATGATGTTGCACTGGTGAATTTAAATAATATTAATAATTCTGTACAGATTAATCCGGTAGTTGATGATATTAATCGTTCACATATTGATCCACCATGTCAACCAATATTGGACAAATATCCAATAAATGAAGATAATCGTTCTTTTCAAGCCCGTTGGTATCATGAAAGACCTTGGCTTGAATATTCAAAAAAAATGATTCTGTATTTTGTTATAATTGTCGCCATTTTGGCGATACCACAGCACCAAAACGAAAAAAAGACGATGTTTTTGTTATTGATGGTTTTCGAAAATAGAAATGTGCTCTTGAGAAAACAAAGGGTTTTGATCAACACATTAAAAGTTAAAATCATATTATCGCAACAACCAATTATTTATCACATCAACAACGTATTAAAACAAACCAAACAGTTATAGACATTTTAGATTCAGGCCGCATTCAACATATTCGTCAAAACAGAACTCGTTTGATAAAGATTGCATCTCTTTTATTATTATGTTGTCGCCAAATGATTCCTATTCATGGTCATAATGAAAACGAAAAGTAAGCGTTAATTTTTCTGAAGCATAGTTTCATTTATTTATTTATCTAGCTCATCAAATCTTGGTAATCTATTAGAAATATTACGCTGGTCTTCTGATGTTGATCCAATAAGTAAAGCTGTTTTAGAAGATTCAGCACAAAATGCGACTTATTTATCCCATCACATTCAGAACGAACTTATTGATATTATGGCAAACACAGTTCGTGAACAAATCAGTAACTTAGTAATTAATTTTTTGTAATTCTCCATCAAGAAATCAATAGTTACTAAAATTTTTATCTTTAGATCAGAGGAAAATATTTTGCTTTAATAGCTGATGAATCTCGCGACGTTAGTGGTCATGAACAACTCTCGATTGTCATTCGAATAGTAAATGATCCATCTGATAATAATAATGATACACTTAAAGAATATTTTATGGGATTTGTGCGTCTGCATCAATTCGATGCAGAAAGTTTATCATTAGAAATAGTAAAATTTTTACAGCAACACAATATTCAGTTGGATTTATGTATAGCTCAGTGTTATGATGGGTAGGAAAGATCTTTTAAATTTAAAATGAATTTTTGATCTTATATTTTTTTTCAGAGCAAGTGTGATGTCTGGTAAATTTGCTGGGTTGCAAATAATCATGCGTGAAAAGTATATGCCCAAAGGAGTGTATATTCATTGTTTTACACATCGATTGAACTTAGTAGTAGTGGATGTTTCCAAAGTGGTGCATTACATAGATGAATTTTATGCTATTATGTCTTTAATTTGTTCATTTTTTACTTGCTCTGCAATTTGTAACGAATTTTTTCAAAAAGCACAACAAAAGTTGAAATTAGGTAAATATGTTTTTTTTTATTGTGCGCTTTACAGATAGCGTTATTATTTTAGACACCACAGCAAAGTTAAAGTGGTGGTCGAATATAAGATGGGATTCTAGATGGGATTCTATCAATTCACTTATTCAAAATTATTCAGCTGTAGTTGAAGCTTTTGAAAATATTATTGCAGACGACGATTCACGTTCAGTTAATGCTAGAGGATTGCTTATATCTGTTAAAGAACCTGTTTTTATTTGTACTCTATTTATCTTACACAAATTAATGGGACCTATTAAAGTTTTCTCGAATCAACTTAAAAGTGAGTCTTTCAAAATAGCATTTCTTCATTAATTACCACGGATGGATTTAAATGGAACAATTGATTATGGTAAACCTAGTGTTTTAATATTGTCGATCATTGATCAAATAAAAAAATTTACGTAATGAAGAATCATTCAAATCGATTTACGATCAAATTATTCAATTCTGTCAAACATATGACATTGACATAAAACAAAAAAGAAAAAGATGTCGAACACGAACAATACCTGCTCGTTTTGCTAATCCAATTATAACAAGTACCGTCGGTCATCGTGACGATGATGGGAATGATGAATATCGAATTCGAACAAGCATTTATTATCCATTAATTGACGCTATTCTTATTGAATTAAATGATAGATTTTCAAATTCAAATTTAAATTTATTGACAAGTTTATCAAGTTTATATCCAGAGAGTGAAAATTTTCTAGAATTTCATTCATTACGTGAATTCGCGGACCATTTAAACTGTGATCGGAATCTATTAGAAAATGAATTAAATGTCATTAAACCGATGGTGAAAGATGACAAATTAAAATCAATTGCAGGATTGTACAAGAAATTAACACCTTATAAAAACGCATTTCCAACAGCTGTATGTATGGTTGCTGGAGCATTACCAGTTCCTGTATCTTCAACAACATGTGAACGCAGCTTCAGCAAGATGAAGCTCATCAAGACTTACACAAGAAATACAATGAGCGATACAAGATTGAGTGATATGTGCTTATTATGTATTGAAAAAGATTTTGAGATAGATTTCGAAAAAGTAATTGATATTTTTTCATTGAATCATGTGGATAGTCGAATACTCTTACGATAAACTTGATTAATAAAAAATCTGAATATTTTTCTTTTCTCTTCTTGTCTATAATGCATTGTCCTAAAAAGTATATTGTACAACCTGTTTCCTACCTAAACAGTTACGGGGCTGAGCCCTCGCCCCCCCCCCCCCCCCCCAGAAAATTTTCCTGGCTCCGCCACTACCTTTACCCCCCATTGGCAATTGGAATTGCGATTTTTAGAAATACCGAAAAAAATTTAGTACTTGGAGTATTAAGAATCTTCTTGCATATTTTCTGTAGGAAACTTCCTAAGCTACCAATGGGCAAAAAAGAAAACCTTTAATCATAACTCTGTTTCCAAGACACAAAACTTACAAAAGAGAAGAATAGACGATTATTTAAAAAAAGGACCCTTTGTTCTTCTTTTGTTGTTTTTATTTATGAACAATACATATCTTGTTGATATTTTATGCGATAAATGTTGCCGAAAGTTGCTGCTGTTGAACGAAATGTTTTTCAAACTCCTCAAGAAGATTAGTCGAACGTAAGCTTTGACTACATGCAATGGCAAATCCAGTTGCCATTGGGGGGGGGGGGGGGGGAGGACATAAAAACAATTTTAGAAATTCTCTTCTAAATACGAGAAGTTTTTGCGCTGACATACAAATAGGTAAACAGACTGCCATTATTTATAAAAACGAATATCATTTGCTGTTATATAGATCTTTGGAACAGATGTAGATGACTATAAGCATCAAATTTTGGACAAGGACACACTCGAACTACACTCACATCAGCATTAATACTCACACCGTAATTCTTGCAGATCTTCTTATGTTTCACGTTAAAGAATAGCGTATCAATAATTATGCTCTTTACTTTTCGGTTTATTTGTTTCGAGAAAATCAAAGATTATCTGCATACAGACTTGCTTCAGATGCTCACGTGTTGTAGGAGAAAGAAGAGTATTTTTTATGTGTTAGGCTTTTATTGTTTGTATAGTTAGAATACAACAATATATGATATTTTTTTCGAAAACAATAAACTATTTTCAAAGAACTAAAAAAGTGATTTTCATGTCCTTACCCCCAATGGCAACTGGAGTTGCCAAATCACCGTGCATACATGTAAAGGATCCTGGCCAATCTGATGATACTATTGAACTACTAAAGATAACAGTACTCCATTTCACTAATTGGTTTATTAGTGTCTCTTCTGGAACTGTTGTGGGGGGCAAACGGTTAAATAATGTCTTATTTTCCTCTTCAAGCATTTATTGATAAAAATAATGAATAAAAAAAAAAAACTAGAACAGTGTTTTCAAGGGGGTGTGGGTGGGGGTGGGTGTGGTGTGGGTGGGTGCGGGTGTGTGGGTGTGGGTGTGTGGATGTGGGTGTCGGTGTGGGTGTGGGTGTGTGGGTGTGGGTGTCGGTGTGGGTGTGGGTGTGGGCGTGGTTGTGGGTGAGGGTATGGGTGTGAGTGTGGGTGTGGGTTTCTCTTCTTCGATCACCAGCACCCACACCCAACGCCCATACTCACACCCGCACGCTGTTTTAACAGACTCATTCATTTTTAACGT